CCCCAAAACCCCAAAACCCCAAAACCCCAAAACCCCAAATCAATTAATCCTTATTGATCACTTTATTATCTCCATAATCATAACAACTCTAATCAATCCCTTGTTCCTCCCTAATATCGTTCAGGAACTTCTGGAATACCTCCTGGAATTTGACTTCAAGGTCTTCGTCTGCAATGAATGGGTTTTCGATCTTAGGTGCGTCCTCGTTCTTCCTGAACCTTGGGGAAAGCACCTGGAACGTCTTGGGAAAACTCGATATCTTAGATTCACTTGTCACGATATTGTTTATGTCTTTAAGCAGGTTGTCAAGCACGATGGAGTACGACTCTCTTCAGTTCTTCTTTATATCCATGAAGCGAGACATTATCTTCTGCTTCCGAATTCTTTCGTTCTTCATTTTTTCAAGTTCAGAGCTCTTAATCTCAAATTTCCTTCCCAAATACTCGGAGATTCGGTCAATTTGGTTTTGAAGGAACTGGTAAGAGTGGAACTGCTTTTGAGAATTTGATTTATTTTAATGGCCTTTCTACAACTCTTTTGGGTCTCAAGTTAAAAGATTCTATATCCTGGACAACCCTAGCTCAGCCAGGTGAGTTGTAGATATCTCCTAGAGGTGAGACAGTCTCACCGACTATCCATTTTCTCTGAAAAGTCTCTTTCTCTTCTTCCTTGTTGTCATTTCTTTCAGCAGAGAAAGCTTCTCTTTTAGAAGACAAGAAAGTACCTCTTCTCTTAGAAGGGTCAGCATTAATCTTAGAGTTTTGCTTAAATTTCTTCTTGGTAAATCCATCTTTAGGGTCATTACTCTTCCTCAGCTTGGTAACTGTCGAAGACTTCTGGAGCCTCACTAGCTTGTTCCTAGAGTCTTTATCTTTCTGCTTGAGTTCTTTCCGAGCTATATTGGGTTTACGATGATAGTTTACCTTTCTTGTCTTCTTTTTCAAATTCTTCATACATTACTTGGAAATTACACTTTTTGTTTTGGTCAACTTCGTACTCTGAGCGGTGCCTCAGGATCATTGAGTGTGAAGGCTTCAAGACTTGGACCCTCAGAGGCTTCCTTAGTGGAGGGAAATGAAGTGTCCCGCTTAGTGTCTGTTGAGTCGAGTTCCCAAAGTCTGAGCTCATTCCACTAGAGTGCCCTAGTCTCTCTGTCTGAGGCGAAAGCTGCTGGTATGATTTGTAAATGTGATCAAATCATGGTGAAAGAGTGGATGTATCAAATTTTACAGAGTGTGGGTTAAATTTTGATTCAGCTCCTGCTTGGTCCGGATCAACCTCCTCTGTCATACTGAGATGGGTAAACTTAGAAGGGCTTATAAACCCGGAATTCCGAGAATAAGACATGTTGTTACCAAAGCTGTTTGTAGATTGATCTTTGTAGAAGGTATCAATCACTCCGCATAAATTCTTCTTGACTCCTTTGAGCATGGGCTTATCGATAACCTTTTTCTTCTTATCTTTCAAATATTTGCTGCTTATTCCAAGCTTATTCTCCTCTTTCGTGTATTTTAGGAGCAGATTCTCAATGAAGTAGGCCGAAGGGAGGAAGCCAACTATTTCATAGTAAACCGTCTGGAACAAATCTTGCTTGCATTCATAATCATAGGTGTTCTTGGGAGGCGCCCCTACTTTGTTCGGTTCCGTTATGGTCGTAATCTCAGTGTTCAGAGTAATTTCAATGGCCAAACTGAGGATCAGAGGAATCATGTCGTAATACTTGTCCTTGGGAGAAGGCATTAGGATGAAGAATTTGCGGAGTTTTTCCCTCAGGGCGACCTTTAGCTCTCACAGGATCTCTTCCTTCTCCTTATTTTTGGAATTTCATGACATAGACTATCCAAAATGTGTAGACATAAATCTTATTTGAAAATATTTAGGTCGCATAACTGAACGAATTTGGGCTTCAGGTATGCAATCTTGTTCTCTTTGAACATTATCCGGTTCAAGCTCCTCTTCAGATAATTTGAGTTGAACAGGGCGATCGGGAATGGGCTGAATAGATCAAGTTGGACTAGATCCGAGTCAAAGAGAGTTTTCTTCTTAATTTTTATTTCATCATCTGATCCTAGTTTAGAATCCTTAGTATCGTCCTTCTGGGTCTTACTATCACTATTTGCGGCTATAGACCCTCTTTTGTTAGTCTTTGTCTGATCAAGAGTAGTGTCATCTGGTTCTTTGTCATTTTTAAGTGTTTTTCCACCTCCAATTTGACGTTTATTTTTGGACTCTCAGATGATCATTTTCGATCAATTCCTCGAATGAAATGTTGTTCTCATCTCTGTTGGTATCGAAGACGTCTAAATTGGTTAATCAAGTCAGATAAAGTAGTGGACTTACTCGTCTTGGTTTCGGAGAGGACTCTCTTGGGCTTTCTCTTTCTGATACTTTTCATGTTTTTTGTAAAAATCTGCTTAAATTTTATATAAATTCTTCAATTTATAAGAATTTATCTGGGGTTTTGGGGTTTTGGGGTTTTGGGGTTTTGGGGTTTTGGGGTTTTGGGG